AAACACCTCACAATATGTGGACAGGGAAAGTTCCTTCGCTTGCCCACATGAAGGTCTAGGGTTGTGAAGCTTTCGTTAGATGAGACACTCATGACAAGCTAGAACCTAGAAGTGAAAGGTGTATTTTCATTGGCTACCTACATAAGTCTTTTGGATACTCGTTCTATATACCTAGTGAGAACGTCATCTTTGTAGCTCGAAAGGGAGTCTTTCAGGAGAGAGAACTTATATTCAAAGAGGATAATGGCAGTGCAATTGACCTTGAAGATATTCAGGAGTCAAATAGTGAAGGAACCTTAGAAGACACTAGCTCTCAACCATAATATGAGACTCATGTTGATCCAATTGACAATTGACTACCTTTTCGTTGATCTAGTAGGGTTAGCATGCCACCTACGCTCTATTATTTCCCTATATCATCAAATGGTGACACATTTATCAGTGATGGTATAGTGGTAAATTTAGATGATCCAGCTAACCGCAAGCAATGGCGAGCCCTGAGGCTGCCAAGTATAAAGAGGCAATGGATAGCGAGATACAGTCTATGTATGACAAACAAGTTTTGAATTTGGTTTATCATGTACTAGGTCGAAAGGCAGTTGGGTGCAAATGGATCTTCAAGAAGAAGACCGACGTGGATCGTTAGCTGAACGGATTTGATAGGACATAATCTCATTAATAAGTATAATGACATAAAGTAACTAAACTATTTTCTAAAATACCACTCTTAGTTACTTTAGGAAAATGTGAATTTGTATGCTAATCCATGAAATTGCACACTACACTTCATAAGTCGTTAGTGGAGCGTGTGTGGTTAACCGGCACACTAATGGGGGACTAATAAAGAGTGGTAATAGGTGTCTCGAAAATTATCGTTGATTAATGGAGAGCTTATGGCTAACCAACACATTAAAATGAGATGATAAATGACATCGAGAGTGCCAAGCTAATTTGCATGGTTATTCACATCTTGTTTGTGATCCTCGGCATCCCAGTCACAAAAGTGAGAGCATAATCCGAGATTAAACATGTCATTGATTAGATTTAATGAATCTCAAAAGATCTTGGAGTTTCATAAGATTGAAATTGGTAAAACCTTTACCTACCTAAAATAGATTCGAATTTGATTACGGCATCCCTCCTTAAAGTTCGAATCGAAAATATGGATTCTAGCCTTAATTTAAAATTTATAGGTTAATAATTAAGGATTAAATTTAACTAACTTGAATTATCTTTTTTCCTTTTATAGATGTCAGTTCGAGACAGTAATGGTCTTCCTCATTCTTTTGGGAATAGTTTTCCTCTATCTTTTGAAGATGATCTTCCACTTTTAGATTAAGGTGAAAATGTTTTCTCTTCTTCGGGAAATGGTGGAAATGGATGCCATGCTTCTTCAACTCTTCTTCCTGCTCCTCCTGTGGCTCTCCTAATATCGCGTTTTCCTCAAGTTGAAAGATACAAAACTACTTAAGCCCTATTGGCATGTAGACATCAAGATGGAAATTTTGTATGTGCGCATGTTCTGGAAATGAAATTGCACATTGAAAAATTAGATAGAATGGTTGTCATTTTCCCAAGGGAGCAAGCCATTAATGTGGTTCTTCTTTCACTTCCTAAATCATATAGTCAGTTCATTGAGAACTTTTGTGTGAGGAACCTCGACGTGACCCTAATTGATCTGACACATACGTTAATTGTTGCTGAAGCAGAAATGCTTAAGAGCACAAGTGAAGCAAAGGTGCTTGTAATTCCAAAGTTTCCATGGACATTGATAATGGTGACAATGGTGTTCCATAAAAGATTTCTCTTCCCAATGGAAAGGGATCGGCCAAGGTCAAAGTGTTTGATCGTATGGTAAAGAGAAAGGCTAATTCTGAGATAGTTCCATGTGCTAACCCTAAAGAATCCATATGTTTCTATTTCCAATTGAAAGGACATTGGTTGCGAAGCTACCCAGACTACCTGAAAGATCTTAGAGATGGTAAAGTCATGTCATGTGACTCTACTTCAGGTACATCCATTATCTAACTCCATTATCTTCACATGTTGCTATTCATAGAGTCTTAAGATATGATGTGATGATCACATTTTGATGGTATTGCAGGATCTAAGAGAAATAAGGAAGCTTAAGAAGAGTGAGCTAATTCTGATCGTGAGAGATGGATTTCAGTCACATGGTTCGATAATCAGAATTTGGAAGCTACTGCTTGTCACACCCTCGGCCGACGGCGGAAACGCCGACGTGCGCGACGTAAACCAGTAATCACAGTTATTGAACATACATCGAACCTTACAAATATAATCTTTTATTATTACCGAAAAGAAATTACATTGACAAGACTATTGCTGAAATACTACACACGCCTAACGATCTGGCATTCGCAATTATATGATAAAATATCGGAGGATCTTCTGTACGAACACTTCCGACCTTATAAACAACCTGAGAATACATGCATTAAAATGCGTCAACAAAATTATTGATGAGTTCTACAGGTTTTGACACAAAGTATTTTTATACCCAAAAATGTTTTATAAAATTTATCTGGTTGACCAGCTTTTATAAACACGTATTTTTCTATCGAAAGTATAAAATAATTGAGTCATAAAAGTATATTTAAACTCATTTAGAAATGTCATTTGCTCAAATCCAAAAATACACCATTTGTAAAATATATAAGTAAAACAAACTTATAACAACTTCTTGCGGTTCTTATGACCAAAATGCTTTTTACATAAAGATTTTAAATACCAATTTATAAAGTCATATCATACTTTGTGAAAACATAAAATAGCCAAATTTACTCTAAAAACTTTGTACAAACGTTCGTATAGTTTATATGTAAAACTCATAAGTTTCGAATTTTATAAACTATGTAAATCCATGTCGTATTATTAATTAAGTATTATCTTACTTAATATGGAAATCGACACTTAAACAGTGGGGCAAACTCATCCCAAAATACTTTTCAATAACCGTTAAATTATAAACGCATATTTTTATCACTCTTATAATATCAACCACAAATATTAACCATTCCCTTTACAATTCTATTCTTTGAAACGTCTCTGCTTATGGAGAATTATGTCGTAGGGAGAGGTAGTTATCAACCTAAACACTCTTACACACTCGGCCCAAATTGGGAGGATTGATTCAATCTGGACCTATACTTCTTCGAATAAAAATCTTCAATATATCAACTTGTCTATAACCGACACTATTCGTCGCTCCTCCATAAGCCACATAGGCACAATAAACAAGCCACACAGGCACAATATAAATAAAAATGGACGAGTCGAGATCATTACTAATGTTTAAAAGTAGTCATATAGTAACGAAGAAAGAAACACTTGACGCCTGTTGCCTCGTCAGACGAAGTTGTAGCTAGCAACAACAGACGGAAAATAACGATTCGCATAAATCTTTCCATAAGAAATAGATCTACACCAAAGTTCTTTATTATAAATCTATGTCGTTTACATAGACCTACAGTATATGATCCCTCCTGGATTAACGGTTATAGAGCTAGGTGTCAATTGCAGGATTTTATCCTTACGAGGAAAAACACACCATCATAAAACTCTCTCTTTCACCCCTTTCGATACATTCCTCTCACAAGCACACACGGGATACACAATCCGCAAAATCCATGATGACAATTCTTCGACTCATAAAATTCGTTGTTCACTAGGGTCACTAACATGAATCTTAGATTATTAAGATTTTCAAACCTTAGTGAAATTAGTTAAATAGTGAAATTAAAGTAGCGTTCGACTATTGTGGCGATAATAATTTGAGTAGTTCCTTACTTCAGCCGATAAGGAGGATGTTCGTTCGTGTAGCCGAATAGTCACTTATGTCGATGCTCGATAAGTTGCATAATTTATATGATATATAATTTATTAGGTAATAATCCCCAAAAATTCGAGAATTAATTATATTATCATATGTGACGAGTTTTGTATCACAGCTAAAATGATTTATATTTTTATAATAATTATAAAAATAAATTATATCGTTTACTTAGTAATCGTTTCCACATTATGATTGGGAGTATAAAAATAATATTGGTTTTTGGTATATTTTCAATTAATTATTATATATATTTGTCAAATCTTCGTTTATAGTCGTTTAAGACAATGTACATTTCCTTTGTACACAATTATATTGAATACCATATTTTGTTATGGGTATAATGTCTTTTTATGTTTTCTCAATATTTCCGCGCACATATATACGACGAATATTAAAGTTTAGGATTCGTCGAATAAATTATATCTTTATATCAATCTGCTTATAATTCTGTGATTTTTATTAATATTAACTAATATATCAGAACAAGGTATAATTTTTATCATTTATAGCATTCTACTATAACTTATATAATTTATTAATGCTTCATACCTTTTATATTGTTATTTTCACAAACTCTTAACCAATAATAAAGTGTGATATCATTTTATGTATAAGATTTGAAAATCATCAAAACTTTAAATAGACACTCGTGTATTCTTCCCCAAAATTAAAAATGTAAAAGAGGGGCCGTAGAAACTCACATTCGATGTGTGATCTCGATCTAGACTCGCTTCGTGAAACTTGTCGTGAGAAACCGTAATTTACTCCTTCTCGAATTTGGAATAAACTATTGGGACTATTTTGGTTAAAGTAAAAAGGGTACCAGGTTTGATTTGTAATTTATTAAACTAAAATAATTTCTTTTTGTAATGATTTAAATCAAAAGAGCTTATTTTAAATCTTGTAAAACGAATGAAGGGCTGATTTGTAAGGATTTATGTCAAATGGCTGCCTTTTAAATTAAGACCACAATTCAGGGACTGACTTTGCCACAATCCCCAAATATATAAAGGGACGCGTCTTCTTCTTCTGATCGGGGAAGAGGAACGGTCGAAAGAAATCGATTGAAGCAGACATGCGCCTCTCATCTGTCGAGCGGAGGGAAAGGAAATCAGAGGCGAATTGGATGGCTCTGTAGGGGATTTCAATCGCAAGGAGGAGGGAAGAAGTCCGTCAAAAACGGCGATTCATCCCTGGGTCTTCGTGATTCCGTCGCCGACAGCAACAACTCGGAAAAGAAATCAGAACAACAAGCAACAGCGATTGGGTTTTGGGGTGTTTGGTTGGGATCGGTGAACAGGAATGGAGCACCTCCGGTACTCGGCTGGTCCGAAGAAAAGAGAAGGGAAGAGGCAGCGAAGCTGCTCTCTTTTGCTCCGGCAGTGAGATACAAAGGGGGAAAACGGCGGCGACAGCAGCTCCGGTGGGGGTGTTCGACTTCTTTGTTTGACAGTAAGCAAATAGCAAAACGGGAATGTCTTGATGTCTTCTTGATTGCAGGGAAATCTCCTCTTCTGGTGGAGGTTTGGGTTGATTCAATTGACAGGTAAGGCACACTTGTTGTTTCTTGGCAGGAAACACTGAAGATGAAGGGAGGGGTTGATGCTTCTTTAATGACCACAAAACCACCACTTTTGGTGATGTTCTTCATGGCAAACGATCCCAACAACAAAGAAGGAATAAAGCAATTGTTTGAGGTCAGCAAATTTGTTCATCAATAGTTTGAGTAATAGCTTGAGTGAAAGCTTTGTATAATATGTAGTGTGTAGTTTTGGGTAAGGTGAGGTGCAGAACAAACATCAATTTCTTCATCATTGTACTCTTAGATAAATTTAGAAGCAAAATATTGTTTGTATTATTAATATGTATTTGTGTATTTTTTTTGAAACGGTAAATCTAACCTACTCCTAATTAATACACACCTTAAATCCACCTATGTCCACGCCGGGACTTGAACCCTCAACCTCAAAGATGGAGGGCAACACCGGATACCGTTGGGCTAGAAGCCCTTTGGTAATATGTATTTGTGTATTATTGAGCGATGTGTATGGTAGAAAATATAAATGTAGAGGCTATAGTTATATTGTTGAAAGTTTAGTTTCAATTATGCTTGACTCAAAGTATCAAAAGTACAATGTCATATTTGTATATCAAAAATGATGATATTTTATAACTTTCTCGATTCGTGTGCCCTGGGTCACGAAATCAAATAATTTTTCTGAAATTGACAAATAATAATCTCGTTTATAAGGTTTCCAAAAAGTTAGACGGATCTTAAATCCGATATGTACAACTCCGGTAAAATCCGTTTAAAGTTTCGGGATTTATAGGATCGGTTTCGACAGATTTTATGAATCTGATTTCGGTTGACTTTAAAAATATTCTAAAAATATAATAAAATAATAGACCTTGGTCTGAATTCAAAAAAAAAAACATGTTCAAATACGGTTTACGAGACTCACAGCTATTCCAAACGAAACAGTGCACGGTTCGTTGCAAGAAAATCAGATAAAATACTGAATTTTATAACTTTAAAGAGTCGTAACTTTCTCATACGACCTCCGTTTTGGTCGTTATTTATATCCACGAAATCAAGAAAACATAACCTATTCAAATATCTTATCCATAACTCTCAGATATATATATCTGATGCAAAAATTTATTTTTAACGCCACAAATAAAAATTAAGTTTTTGGTGATTTTCGATTCGATTCTCAATGATAAATGTTTCGAGCAGTTTGAGATATTCTAAAAGTATTTATAAGTATAATATCTTTAATATACTTTATAAACATATAATTTCACACAATTGGTTCTTAGCACATAGCGGTTCTCGGTGGTTTGATCGTCGAACTTTGACCGAGTTTTACGAGTTGTTGCACTGCTTAGGAATTATGATAATTTAATAGATTGCTTAAGAAATGTCTAGAAACATAGTTTTCATTTTTATGCATTGTAAGTACAAGTTCCAAATTTTCATTTATTATCAATAAAAGTGATTGTTTTGGTTTATCTAGTTGCTTCAATTAATATTTCCTTACAATGGCATTTATAAAAGTGTTGGTTACATTTCTATTATTGTTAATGTTAGTTGTGGATTTGATTCTTGTTATATCGCTTGTGGTATTGTCATAATTAACCATGTGAAAAGGAATTCTCATCATCCAAGTTCTAATTGGATAGAAACTTGGAGTCATGCAATTTGAATTGTGTGATGTATGAGAATCTTGATCATTGGAAAATTATGACTAATTCATTGATCACATGCTTTTGTGAGTCAAAGTGAATGACTAATGGATCTAGTACATGTTGATATGAACTCTTCAGATCCACCATAAAGGACGATAACTCTATTCATCATTTATTGTTGCTTCAGTAAGTGTGGTTGTGTTTATAAGATTAAACAAAATTCCAATTCTTTGAAAAGTTTCAAAGAGTAGCAGAACGAATATGAAGAATCTATTAGGCAGAAAGATGGAAGTTTCTCCAATCTGAAAGGAAATGAGAGTACTTTAGTATCATGTTTTATGATTATCTTAATGATTGTGGAACTATATCACAATTGATCATCGAAGAACATCTTAGTGCAATTGTATGACTAATAAGTGGAATTGGATATTGTTGAAATGGTTCAATCTAGAGATGAGTCATACTTCGTTTCCAATCAAGTTTTAGAGTCATGCTCTAGTTACTGCAGATCGTATCTTGAAAACTAATTTCATACTAAGTAGGTTTATAAAACCTTATGAAATTTGGATAAATAATGTCTTCTTACTCTAGCACATTTGGAATTGGAAGTTGTGATGTTATGATCAAAACAAAGGATAAATTAATACCTATTCCATGAAGTGTTTTTTGTCAGGAATCCACAATAACTTTTTAATATATTTTTTAGCTCGTCAAGGTATGTTCCTTAAGAGGGAAAATTATATATCAAGAAGACAGTGGGAGTCCTATTGATCTTGAGAGTTTTAGGACGCAATCGAGAATAAACCTTTTACTTATCACTAGCACACGACCTAAGGTTGATAACCTATCCTGTTCAGTTGAGACATTCTTGTTTTCTATGCACCTTCCAGTTGTGTTGGTAATGCTTATGAGTTCTATGGTTCTCATTTGAATACCAAAGCAAAAGTACATTGGTCAGTGAAAGTACTTTGATAAGTATGGGTGAGCTGCTTAACAACACATAAGCACTGGTAGGCCATTGTGCTACCAAAGAGCAAGAAATTAAGAATAAGCGAAGTTCATTCCATGAAAGGAATGTTAATTTTGAATTTGGTTTGGTCCTAAACCTTATCTTATGATTGTGGGTTGGAAATGATAGATTCACATGGATAGGAATGTATAAATTATAAAATCTAGGTGGGAAAAGGTGTCACACCCCCAAACCAAGGATGGCGGAAACGTACGGGGGTGGAGGACTTCATGTATAGTATCATAACAACGAGTATAATAGTGATCAAAGTAAATACAACCATCATATATATAATCGAAAAAGTTACATGGTTTCATAAGTTACATTTTTAAAATAGATTACAATATAATGATAAAATAGTTTGTCTAATGTCGTAGCGTTCCATCCTCAAAAGCTGGTAGTTATCTGATTTCATTGATTTTCTGAGAATACAAGTAATTTTGAAAGAGTGTCAACAATTAAGTTGGTGAGTGCATAAGCTTTTGTATGTAGAATTGAAAACCTTTCTTTGTAAATGTAGTGTATGTTCAAGAATGATCCAATATTTTTCTTATAAATGAGATGTAGTCTTAAAACCCAAAGACCGTAAAGTACAAGTATTTTTTCATACTTATGATAGTGTAGGCAATTTTAAATAATTAAAACCCTTTTGAATGTAAAATTTACGTAAAATATATGTGTCATTGTTTCCCTATGTGAGTTATTATAATCGTGCAATTGACATAGTAAGCCTGTTACGACGTACTTCGGACGTCGGAATGTTTTGACATTTGTCACCCTAGACCTGCCGGTCTAGCTGTTGCATGCAGCTTAGGTGCGGGATTGTCAGTCCCAATATATATCTATATACAAGTGTCACGCTCTCCCTATAGGAGACTATGGTTATAATATAGGACTTTAAACAGTACCCTAAAAAGTACAATGAAGTGACGTCTCACAAATTTGATTCAACGAGTTTACGTGTAGTGTGATTGAAAATCCTTTTTGTAGTGTAATTGGAACCTTCCTTAGTATGTTTGTAGTGTTAATGTACCATAAACTATACCTATTATAGTTTATCCCATATGTTTGTAGTGAATGAAAACCCCTTTTGTAGTGTATTGGAAACCTTTCATAGTGTATTTGTAGTGTAACAAACCATAAACTATAACTATTATAGTTTATCACATATGATTGTAATAAATGAAAATCCTTATGAGGAATGACAAATTCTGTTTCATGAAAGTAAACTAACATTAAATGCAATCAAGATGTAGTTTAAACATTGTTATACACTTTGCTCAACATGTTACAAAGTGTTAATAAATTTATAAATTATTTTACTAGTTTTAACTTTTTTGTTACTGTTTTTAGAAAAATCATAGAAAAATCATTGTAAGTCGAAAACTAGATCCGTAAACTCTAAGAGTTTACAAAATGTATCTAGTTTGTTCAAATGTTTTTATTATGATTTTTAGAGGTCTCTAACTAGTGTGAAAATGTCCATATTCACAGACTGGTCCGAAATCGTTTCTGAAATGATAGGCAGTTTTGTAAAAATCGCCATAAACTGTAGAAAAATCGTATGAATGTGTGGAAGTAGTCATTAGAAATGTATAAACCTGAACTAAATGCATATTGAACAATTTTGAAAAATATTAAGTTTAAGATGGTCAAAACAGTTTGTGAATAGACCACAACTTTTCTGATGAAAGCTGTTAGTATAGATTAGAATATGTTTTGGGTGTTGTAACTTGTATTCCTCCCCCCCCTAAAACTTGAAGAAAACATGAAAATGTAGGGGTATGAACTTACCTTCTGTGATTTCGTGAAGAATGGAAGGTTGAAGATGAAGAGTTTCAAGTCAAGAACACTTGAAGGATGCTTGATGATTTGAGGATCTGAACAACAAATATGTGAATATTTGTGTAAATGATCATGATTTGTGTGAAGGAATGTAGAATATTTAGGAGTAAAATGAAGAACTTACCAAGAGTGAGGGAAAGATCTCGAGACTTCCTGGGGAAAGTTTGAGTTCCAGAGAGTGAGTGAGAGAGAGAGAGAGAGAGAGAAAGAGAAAGAGAGAAAAGTTTGTTTTTGGAGGAAGTAAATAAAGTTTTATAGGTGAAGATTAAAGATCTATTGAGTGGATTTGGTCAAGGGAAGATCTAATGGAGTGTTGAAGAAAGATATTGATTTGAATAGGTAGGATGTGAATAGTGACATAAAGTTGATGTGGGGATGGCTTGGTGTCATAACTTCATGGGAAAAGTCAACAAACATTTGTGTTTGATCTTGAACAAAAGATATGATTTATAGACAATAAATCTTCAAGATGGGGATAAAATATGATTTTGGAGGGTTTAAAATGATGAAAATACAAATTTGGTGAAATTCCCACGTTAAAATCATCAAAAACGGGCTTAAAATGCGAAACTGGTAAAAAAACGGACCTAAGAAGCGAACCAGCAAAG